TCCGGGGATCATATCCTGGGCTGTGAGTCTCCCGACCAGCCAAGCTTTCCATTCATCCGGGGTCGGTTAATTGGTACCAGACTTGTCTGGGGGGATAAAAAACTGACCTGTGCATCGGCTGGCCCCCGCAAGTCATTGTATAGGCCACATCGCATTCAAATGCCACTACGAATGTACAAATGGAAGTAGAATGCGTGCCGCATCCCAAAAGGGATTGATCAACGGCGAAATGCTTTATGCTTTCTTTGATTACCTGTTGTTTTCGGGCCTTTATTTTATGTCCTTTGCAATATGGTTGCTACCAGCCAAGTAACAATTTCGACTTTTCCAGTTCTCTCGGAAGATATTTTGTTTCTATTCATGGTTTCTTGTTCTTGCTCTCGCTTGGTCTATGCCCACCTTTCTAGATGAAAAAATAAACAAATGAACAAATAAATAAATTCCAGCCATCTCTGAATCCCTCCCTTTACCCTGTGGTTTGAGGTCTATTTTGTTTTCTTTTTTGATTGTTTCATATTTTCGTAATCCGAGACCCTGTTAATGGCAACGGCAGACACCTATATGCAACAAACAAATCAATAAATAAAATAGAATATCTTTCTCGCATATTATCGAAAACCTGTAGCTATCTGACTAAGACAAAAAGGGCCGAAATGTGAATCCAACTAGTATCGTCGCCTTAACTTCAGACAGGGAAAAAGAATACTGTAATGATATTAGTGCAAATATAAGACCCACAGCCATCAGCTGTCATTCACCGTTTCTTCTTCTGACAGTCATTGTCATCAGTCGCGGACGCATTGTTTTCTCACCAGTCGTTCTTCAACAAACAACAAAACCTCTCTATTACAACGCTAAACGAAAAAACCGGACTGATAGTGAGTAGGGGCAAGTTTTTGGATCAACGCCAATAATGTTCGCAATAAATTCGTTGGCACATCACGGCCGACTAGTACTCTTCTCTGTCAGCACTCACATTACGGAATATTTATAGTGCACTGAATAGTGTAATTATTGGCGTTGTGTAGAAACAGAAAACGGATCGCATTACCGTAATTCTCGTAATCGTAGTTCTGCACTCGATTTTCTTCTCGTCTTCCGAAATCGAGGGTAATCAAATGAATACTGGTAAAAAGGATGAAAATAATCATAACGTGCAGCGCTTCGCCATATAATATCATTCGCCGCACAATATCCTTTGAATAAGATACGTATCGATTAGGTGGATACGCGATTAGACGCGATTGAAATCCAATTAGGTACATTATTACCTTCTATTACCATTTGAATAGAAGACAATAATGTGCCTAATTGAATCTCAAAAGAAGTGTTTAACATGGGGTTATCTATCAACCCATACGGTATTGTTATCCCTTTGACGACAATGCGGATTTGCACGTAGCGTGCTCGTGGGACCACGCCTCTTTTTGGCGCGCCCAACTCTCGCACAAAATGGGGCAAAATTGTCCCTAAAAGCAGTTTTTCTATCAAAATTTTGACTATGACAATAAACAAAATATGACTGCAGTCTTAAGCTTTATGATCATGTATTGTTGGAATTAGAAGTGGAAGTTTGGAAAGAAATCTCGGATTTCAAAGGGATGGTGTTTGAAAACTCTAGAAGTTCAAATGTACAGTAGAATTTTTGATATCCCTGTGTCTTAAGACTATGAAAAGACGTAGAGGTCCCGATCAGTAATTCATCTTAAAGCTTAATAATGTAAAACACTAGTTAATGTATCGCTGATCGAAGTTCCACATCCTAGAACTTCAGTATTAATTAGCCAGACTACGTCAAAACCTAATACTGGTAAAGTATGCTTATATATTATACAGGGGGGGGGGGCAAAAAAAAAAGACATTTTGCCTCCACTTCCAGATGGATTTAAGCACATTTTACTCAACTCAGACCGAACGGTTCCAACTTATTATTAAAGAGTGCATTCCATTCTATAAGAAAATCTTCATAGTGGCCACGTACGTGGACGGCATCAGAAGAATTAGCCCTGGAAACATGGTGCACTGGTCGATCTCAATGGGGTCTTCGAAGGATCGTGTACCATAACGACCCTTACTGGAAAGCTAGTTCCGAGGGGATTTGCACAGTGGTAGCTAATGCCTCTAGAAAACTATCCAACATTAAATCGATTCACGAAATTGCGTAAGAGCTTCAGGCTGAAGCTCTTACGGTAGACCTCCTTGAGCCTGACGACGGTGACAGATGACGTCATATTCTGAAGACGGTGAGGGCAGTGAAGGAGAGCCTGCGTACACTAATAGAGGAACACTTAGGGAATACTCTGCTGAGGAACTCCCGTCAACGACAGCAATCTCTGCGAAGAAAAAAGAGCCGAAGTCCGACATAGGCAAAATGTCTTTTTTTTTGCCCCCCCCCCCCCTGTAGACACAACGAAGCTTGGTTATAAGTACTCGCCTGCTGAATCGTTTTAAATTTTAATAAAAATTTCAGGGCGGCACACCAACTGGGTGCCATTGTCCACGCGCACGGTCGTATTGGCACCCTACCGGTGGGGTGCATCGATACGTATCTTTTCTTCTCGCCTAGTCACCTAGTCGCCTAATCGCCTGAATAGTCAACTTTAAGCAATAACGAACTCTTTTTTTCATAAGATAGTAATTTCTTCAGTGTGTTTCTCCTGATGCTATCACAAGCGGTTAAAGGACGAATTCACGATGAAAAAGCAACCCATTTCGAATTACAAATTTCAAATTAACCTAGGGATGGTGAGTGGTACACGAAAGAAGGAAGAACCATGAGAAACGGTACCCCTTCCTTGCCCGTTGATTCGAGCATTGATGCGACTCTCATCGCTGTGCCCTCTTCAACACTACGCTCTCTCAGCTATCTAATCACTCGCCACGTATTGAACTACGGCGAGTGATCAGATGATCGGTGGGCGGAGATCGCCGGACCCGCCAGCTTTGAGGCATGATAGGTCGCCGAGGTCAAATTTTTCCATGCGAATTGCGCGTCAGTTCGCACCCTCAGGAGGTCCGTGGGTCCCTCAACTAGGTCAGTTTCCCTTTCTTCGGTCTTCATTCACTAACGTGACACGTTCCTCCGTTCCGAAAGCGCGATCTTACAGCGGGCAGGGGGGACTCAATCCAAACCCCAGCTGAAACTTAATCCGCCTCTCCGTTCCATAAAAATCATCCCTTCCCTTACTGTAACATTAACGCTACCTCGCGAAATACGACCCCCTCTTTTCCACCCCCAAATACGACCCCCACCCCCTCGTTGGACTTTGTCCAACGGACGGTTGACCCTGGTATGGGCTTACGTCGATCTGTGCGTGTCTCTATTTTGGATCACTAAATCCCGTTTTGGAATGCAAGATCCAAGAGAACAGCCCCAAGGTCAAGTTTGGGAATGGTTGAAGGCAATAGAGGCAATCAAGCTACAACAATTGTGGGTGAGAGCATCGTCACGAGTAGGCGGGAAGTGCATCGAGGGCTGTGCGATGCGTAAAATTTCGAACGAACTCTATAAGGCTGGCTGTCAGAGTTCGCCGGAATCGTCGCCGCTAATCACGAAAACATAACACTAAGCGAAATGGGTGTCGGAGATTGCGAGAGCACGCTTCCGCAATATTGGATTCGAGGTCCCTGTAAGTTCAGTGACCTTCGCGCCGGAACGCGCGCGACGCGACGCTGGACTCTGGCACCAGGCTAACAGCCGGCGTCAATCTTGGGGAGGAGAAGCACAACAGAACGATGGTAGTGACCTTGGCACGAGAGGCCAGGAGAGGGCCTGAGAAACGTTAGGGAGACCGAACATGGCTCACATTCTACCCCCAATCCGTTCTCTGCCTAAAGGCTTACCAGGAAAGGTCATTTGGTCAACCCGGCCATTTGAAATGAGATGTATATGTGTATACGCGCCTTGGGACGCTGAGCTCAAATATGTGTTCCTTATCTGCTGAACTCTTCTCTGAAAGGAATTATGAAGCAGAAAAGCGCAGGGGCTGTGGTCGAGGCTCACGAAAAAGAGGTCAGGGGATCAACTCCCTGGCGAGTTTTTCTCTTTTGCCGTTTGCAGTAAGATAGCTAGGAAGACTCCTAACATTGCTAGTCCGACATGCTTGCGTATAGTTAACAGTAAAAAGAATTTGAGGGCAATTAATAATGAACTTGGGCGGCACCGCTCCTCACCACTTTGGGCGCTTGTAGCGCAGGCGCCAGGCATTTTTGCTTCGAACAAGTATGATATTCGTAATCAGGGAGTCAGACTCTCCCTTTGAGCGAACTTCTAGCGAATTCTGAAATTTTGACCTAACCTCGAAAATTTGGGCAGTCACTTACTCACCGATCCACCAATCCATTACAAAAGGCTGGCACTTGGGTAGAATAAATTTTTTAAAAACTTTTCATAATAGACGAAAATTGTGTCTGGCTTGCCCGTCTGCATCATCCAAAGATCTACAAACCATTATTTCCTAATACAACACCTTCTCTCCCCTTTCCCCCGTCGTCCATGATTGGTCAACCCAAAAAAGTGGAGTTTGAGGAGTGGTAATCCCATCACTGCCCCGCTTTTTCTCAATTATTTCGTCGCCTCAGATTTGGCGAAAAACTCGCTGTAAGGGTAGTTTGATCCCCTGAATACGAATATCATACCTACTTGCCACGGAAAAGCATAGCACCTGCACTACGGGCACCATAGGCTTTCACAGACAAGTAGTGCTTAAGTTTAAGAGGGTCAGCTTGCAAACTCTTCGTAGATGTAGCGTCGGGCGACCATTGGTAAAATAACAGATTCAAAAAGGCTTTTCAGCCATGTTGGAAAAAAAGCAAAACAACAAACCCCGTAAGGGACCGAACCCCCGACCCCCTCCGTGAGAAACACGACCGCTACCAACTGCGCTACCTAGGCTCACATCACCAGTGCCTCGGTTCTCCTTTCGATACTTTTATAGTGCGGCTAACATGTGATTGCAGGTAAAACACTGAAAATCAAGGGCGGCAACAAAAACCCTCCGTAACTCCTTTCAGAGAAGAGTTCAGCAGATAGTGAAAGCAGATTTGAGTTCAGCGTCTCATGCTGCGTACAGAAATGTGCACCTCATTTCATTTGGCCGGGTTGGCCTAATGACCCTTCCCTGGTTAGTCCAAGCACAGCGAATGCTCGTCCCCCCACGTAAAACCTTGAAGTGCCCCCCTCCCCTCCTCGCCTTCAATGCGATGTGGCGGGCTAAGGAGCCTAAGTGGCCGAGGAAAAAAGGAATAGAGGTGTACACAGGTTGCCAGATGGAAAGCAGATCTACTCGCAGTGGACGATGCATTCTTCAAATGGGCGGGAATTGATGCCCACTAAAGATAATCATGTCAGTCATATGGGTATATGAAACAGGAAGAAAGTGGATGCAGTAGCAGCGATGTTTCAAAGTGGCGAAACCAAGTGAAACGGGTGTGATGGGCCCGCTAACAATGGGCGGAACGTGCTCTCAAGCGGGCGGAGTTTCCTACAAATCCGAAGCATCCCGGCCGCGGAGGAAAGTGTGGAGGTACGGGTCAGCAGGGGAAGGAGCGGCAAATATTAATGTCGTACGGCGCTTGGGCCACAGCGAAAAATTTCAGGATGGCTTTCAATATCGCTGAAACCTCCCGCTGAAACCTCATGGGTGACAAACGCAGCGGACTCAGAGCGGTAAAGGGAAACGTTTGGCGATGATCAAATATTTATTGCGCTGGGGGTGGCAAATTCAGACAGGGATTGCTAGGCATCAAGTACTTTACGCTCCCTGTTCTAAGCAACTAAATCCAGCATCATAAGATGGCGACATTGGCCATATGCAGGGCTTGTGCGGAACCACAATACTTAGTATGAATGCACCAGTGAGCAGGGTAGGAGCTTACCGGATGCGAACACTGCTTAGGGAATATGTGGACCGTTCCTTTCCTGTCCTGGCAATTACTACTGCCGCTACTTTACATGACCGTTACTAATTGAAGGTGGCGACAAATGTCGCGGATGTCACTTAAATCGCGGACGCGATTCCACATGGGCGACTTGGACGACTATTACGTCGTGTGCACTCGCCGTCTTTCGTGGTCACTCGGTCCTCGATTGGCTAAAATTTGCCGATGATTGGGTGTCGCTAAAAGCGAATTGCGGTACACGGACTTTGGTAATGATTCGCGATTTCATCTTGTTCGAACAAAACATGGTTGATGTTTAGTCGAAGACGGGGGTTTTCGGTAGTACTGGGGCATAACTTAGGCGGCTTTCATACCTATTCCCCGCGCCAATCAAACATGTGGTACGACAAAATTGGTGAACATGGACTTGAAGTGGGCCACTAGAATTCGCTCTGCAATCCTAAGAAGAATAGTCAAGATAATGGTGGGGAAAGAGCTCGGATAACACTTCCTTCAGAGAAGCTTTTTGATGCGGCCGAATCAGCCTGAGAATATGCTGTGAAGCGATCCCAAACCAAGAGACGGATATTTTTGCCACCCACGCGGGGACGGGGGAGGGCAGTGTGGGGAGGAACTTCACAGTGTTTGGACCACTGAAGATGTGCAAAGAATGGATCGGATATCGCTAGTTACGGCTTTTTACTGGCTCTTGTAAAAGTTTACAGCTAGAAATACCCTAATGTTAGCCTTGATCGTTATCGTTAGGGCTTGAGAGTAAAATGAAATGGCCCATTCCAACACCATTGTCACCGGAAAATAACAATAGGAACGGCCATGATCGACCTCTTGGAAAGGTTCTGCGCATAAGTTCAGAAATAATTCGATTGAATATGTGTCGGACCTTCACAGGCATTGGTTCTGAGGTACTGCTAGTGAATGATATCGATGTTTTGCCCGCTCTCAACTTTCCCAATTTTCTCCTTCCAAAAAAGGATTCAGTTGGCCATGGCTTAACACGATCCATGGACCAGGCTATTTGTAGAGGAGTGGGTTGTTCTTGCTGATGCCCGCCTTCGCTTACCAGGAATGGATGATTGGTCGAAGTGGCCATATGTAAAGAGACCTACACCGTTGGATGCGTTTTTGGACGCTGATCTCGAATCTGCTTTCCAAATCTGCCAAACGATTTTCCGAATGGAGTTATGAAGGAAAGTAGTGCAGCGGTAGTAGTCCGGGTTCACGTGCGAGACGTCGTAGGATCGATTCCCTGGCGGGTTCTCTTTTTTGCCTTCGCTGCAAAATGATGAAAAGGCTCCCAGCTACCTTACTCGATCAATGCTTGCCTGTAGTTACCCGTGCAAAGACTTTGCGAAGAGTTTCTAATCAGTTTCTGCGGTACTTACTAAAGACTGCACATGGAGCCCACAGAACTCTTGGCAGACGTTTTTGCAGCAAACAAGTGTGATATTCGTGTTCCGGAGATTAAAATACCCCTAGGGACAAGTTTGTAGCCAAATTTGAGATTTCGACCAAATTTCGAAATAAGCTGGGTGGGTATCTATCCATTCATCCATCAGCCTATCATCGAAGCCTATATAGCCTTGAGACGATATAAGTTTTTTTGGTTTCTGAAGAGTGTAAAGCAGTGTCTGGTTTTCTGTTCGCATGATTTCAACACCCACATTTTATTATTTTCAAATTTAAAGGGTCGCCGTCGTCCAAAATAGGTCAACCCTGGAACTACCGGCTATGGATATGTAGCATCAATGAGTGACTCGCCCACTTTTTTGAGATTAATTCAAAATCTCGAATTTTTCTAGAAATCGGCCCCAGGAGTTATTGGACTACTTGAACACAGATCTCACATTCGTTCACTCAAAAACGGCTGAAGCGCGCGCTCCGTATACTGGCGCGCCTTAAAGGCAGCGGTTACGCTAGGTTTAAATGGGGTTTAGAGGGGACGAGGGGGTCCTCAATGGTACGTCAGTGGCGAAAGAAGCAGCGAAATCCGTCAGGAAACGAGAAATGGGACCCCCTTTTGTGCCGTTGATTGCGGCTCTCAGATGGACTGCGGCGAAGACCGCGCACGCGTGTACGAGATTACGCAACGCGTGCTGGCATCAAGCCAAAACATGCTCCAATCGATGATAGTTGGATTTTATCGTGGGTGCTATCTTAGTTGGGGGGGGGGGGCACGCGGCGGCGCGGCGCTCTGTTCGCCTCCTCCTGCAAGGCTTAGTCCTCGATGGCGCCTATTTCGAAACTGTCATGTGATGGCGAAATAGTAACTGCGGCTCTATACAAGTGGGATGGGCACGTCCAGCTTTTCACGCATGTCAAGTGGCTGCCCTCACCCCCACCCCCCCTAGATTGGCTACACTCCCCCTGGCTCACGAATTCCCCGATTCTGGTGACAGTACAGCAGCGGGCAACAGTCCTACTGACATACTTTTCTGTTCAAAAAATGCGGCGACATTACTTGTATAGCACCGTAACTGCCCCTGGGACTAAGCCTTTTGAGGAGGAGACGAACAGAGCGCCGCGCCGCCGCGTGCCCCCCCCCCCAACTAAGATAGCACCCTTTATCTTTGCTTTTGCTGCCGTTCGCTGTGTTTCGCTTTTTCACTGCTTATTTTTGTTTCCTACTTTGAAGTTGTTGTGATTTTATTTCAGTGAATGTTGCTAACTATGGCACCAAATAGTTCATAGCAATTCCTGACCACATTGGCACAGTGAATTTCTCATGCATATCTCTTCGGGTGTTCTCGCCGCCTTCGTCGTGAACAAGCAGTTTTATCCATCAATTGTCTACATAACAAAAAGCAATGCCACAGGCGTCAACCCTGGTTCAGCCAAAGAAACGAAGGAGGGGGTCGTATCCACAGACGGGCTGCAAGACGGCTTGAAAAGTGCAGTGTCCGGGAGTGCACTTTCAGCCTCTAATGTTCTCCAGGAGCTCTGCACGCTGTCGGAGAGTCACACAGACATGAGCTCCATGGGAGCATTAAAGCATGCAGAGCACTATAAGTCTCACCATCAGCTTATTATCCTTAATCGACGCTATCCGGACTGGCGCTTTTGCTCCGCGGCATAGATCAAGAGTACAATAGACAATAGCCAAAAACTTTGTTACAGTGTAGTGCAAAAACATGGTCTGTCTTCGATGATGAAACATTCCTGAAATCCCGAGGAGAACAAAGTGTAGAGCAGTTCATGGGAAAGTGAAACAAGAGTGCCATATAACAGCACAATACAACTCAATCAGGATACTAACACCTTCTTCAGGAAAACAGAAGACTTCAAAATGCGAGTGCGAACTCTGCCCACAGATAGGTGCACGGCGTATACCCGAGGCGTTTTCCCATAAAAACGCCTCCTCTGTCAGCGGCCGTAAGCAGACAAACTTTCTGAAGAGAGTTTCGATGCTTTCAAATAAAATCTAAGCGAAACAAAGTGTAGCGAATTTGCTGAATTGAGTTCTAGAGACGCCGTAGGAAAATTGAGGCAGAAGAAGGAATTTCAGGGAAATTTCACAGTTGTTATGAAAGTACTCTTCGAGTGGATTCCAACAATCTTTACCGCTTCTCATCACATTAATTTCAAAGGAAGTTATGGGCCTTTAAAGACTGCATAGTCGCGGTCCAGGAAAATGGCTTGAAAAAAATCAAGGTGGAATTGACGGAACAACGGACTATTTTTTGAGCGAGTGATTATTTCAAGAAGTTTTAGCACTTATTCGAAAGCTCTAATCCTCTAGTTTCTAATTAGCCTTAGACATCTGCAAAATGTTGAGTATGAAGAAAGTTATTAACGTTTGAATGTCGAAAACTCGCGCCTTCTCAAAAATCGGACCCCAAACCACCCAAAAACGGAACAACGGGACTATTTTTTGAAAAAATGATCGCTGGAAAATTTTCAGGTGCTTGTTCGAAAGCTCTAATCTTCTAGTTTCTAATTAGCCTTAGACATTTGCAAAAAGTTGATTATGAAGAAAGTTATGAATGTTTGAATGTCAAAAACTCGCGTGTGCACAGAAAACGGAACAACGGGACGATTTTTTGAAATACTTGAACATCCACAACATTTCAAATACTCCTCAGGAAGAAAACTATTTATATTTTCAAAAATTTTGGTGTCCGATTTCATGAAACAGCTTCTGAAAGAAAATATAACCTTCTGAATGGAGGGGTTTGGATTGCAATGTAATTGCTACAAGGTTTAGTTTTTCAGATTATAAGGTAAGGAAAGTTGAGAGATCGAAAAAATCCTGGTGGGTTTCTGAAAGTAGAAATCTTTACGATTAAAATGATGTATTGGTTTACGCAAAAATTTGGAAATTCCTTCTATTTAATGAATAAAACTTCATTTGCCTCGATTCCCTCCTCTGAGCGAGACAGAGCGCGCGGATTGACCACGGTCCACCACTTCTCCATGTTGGTGACTGCCATCATTGATGAGCATTGATGAGCATTAAATTATGTGAAAGACATGATAGTTAATATGGGGGGGGTCGTACCGATACCCCCGAAAAGGAAGGGGGTCGTAAAAATTTGGGAATTTGCGCAACGCAGGGTTGACCCTGGCCGCCATGCTGATGGTGAGACCTTGACATTATCCAACTTTTTCGAGAACGATTTCGGAAATTCACTTGAGTTATGTGAGTGCTAGGCTTCTTTTTTTCCTTCTAGATAGGGCTTTTTTGAAGCTATGGTTCAGCTGTTATGTATTGTTTTTTTTGGGTGAAACTCGGGTTTGGGGGGGGGCACGCGATGTCGCGGTACTGTTTTCGTCTGCTACTCCAAGGCTTAGTCCCTATGGCGCATATTTCGAAACTGCCACGGAACACTGGCGAAAGAGTAACTGCTCCTGTGACTAAGCCTTGAAGGAGAGGAAAACAGTGCCGCGCCATCGCGTGCCCCCCCCCCCGAACCCGAGTTTCACCTTTTTTTCTAAGTGTAGGCTGTTTCGAATCTTACAGAGCGGGTGGAAATGCATACCATTTTCCAGAAAAGGCGAAGAGCAGAGTATACTATCCAATGAACAAGAAACAAATTTTTAAACGCGTTCAAGTTCAAGTAAACGTCAGGTGGCACCATGTAAATTTTTTGGAGTATGATCACTGAGTTTTTTTCAGGTGAAAGGTCTTGATCCTGGACGTATGACATGTGTCAAAGGTCTAACGGTTGCCGGTGTTCGAGTTGTGAGCATTACTGATCACACTCCTCTTAAAGAACTCGGTCCAAGGCCACGAAAAATTAGGAAAGTTTAGGTATAGTTCCTATTGTACAGCTATTTTTACTATCCAGTGTTGTTCAAAGTAGCCGTAATAAACATTGTCGATTTTGTTGCACTTGTGTTGGTCACTGTTGTGACTAGGAACCTCATATTCATAATTGTGCTTTCTCTGTTGTGAATAGCATGCCCATTTCAACTTCAGCCTCCTTTGTCTGCTATGAAACCGAAGAAGCGCTATAACAAAATACTGAGCATCTTCCAGACTTAAGCCGAGGAATTGCAGGAACTCCTGAAAATGAAAAATATTCACGCATCCTGTAGTCTCTCCTTTCCCGTCCAAGGTTAATACCGTTCTGTCGGAAGAGGGGATTTATTACATGGTTTTGAGTGCATTGCCACCTCAATGCCTCAATCCCTGCGGAATCGCTTGTTCCAAATGCTCAAATTTCGAACATTTTGGTATCGATGCAGTATAACATCTGAAATCAATTGAATGATTGTATTAAACCATAGACAAAATCTGCTGGAACCTGAAGCTTCATTGATCAACAATAAACGTAACAGTATTCTGTCTACAGTCTTCTGGTCGTCTTCGTCTATCCTCGTTTGTACTGATGCGACGTGCAAAGCACCACCAACTGTTCGTCGAGCCTCCGCTCGCAGAAGCACTTGTTCAGCGTTACCTGAACTTGACATCAAAGACCGAAAGCCGGAAGAGATTGAAAGAACAAAGAGGCTACGTGAAGCCAAAGGTTCTGAGAAAAAAGCACTCAGAATCTGTCTCACCACTTGTCAATAACCTGGCATCAGCACCGGTTACGCCCCACAAAACAGCCATATTCATCACATCAACAGGTGCTCGAAGCTCGCACATAGACAAAGCACCACTGGACATGATAATGCCACGCCGTCGAAGGCCTCTGAATGAAATGAAATTATGTAATGCATGTAATGCGTAATCATGTAAATCATGTAATGCATAATCATGCAAATTGCTGCAAATCATGTAAATTATGAACAATAATTCTAAGTACCTAAAGTGGAATTCCTTAAAGTATGTGCTAAAACTGTACTGCTAGAGTGTAGGCATAGATTGGTTTTGCTTGCAAGAAAGACAACTGTAAAAGTGACTCGTGTTGGGATAGAATTGGGATTATTGGCACTCACGCTCTACTGCGGATGTAATTTCCCCCTACAACACCCCTGATTACAAACAGCAGGCATGGCACCCTAACCGCGCCGCGGCTGGCAACGCAACTCGCCCAAGCCACCGATGAATCATGGGGCGGGGCGGCGCATGGGGCGGAAGGGCGCAATGGTCCTGCTCAGCAACCACAGCACTGTTCGCAGTGCAAGCGCCACACATCGCTTCCTTGGCGGCCTGCTAATTGCTCTGTGGGGAGCAGGTTCTCCGCAGATGTGAAAATTCCTTTTCGTACTACTTCCTTTAACCTTATGTAGTGGCATGCAAGTTAGGAAAAATTTCGAAGTTATCGACCTCAAACTCATCCAAAAGCAAGTAGGGCTGACCAATGATGAAGGAATCATGTTTCACTACTGCCAAACAGTCACAAAAATGCAAAAGGAAAACAAGGGGCGGATCCGAACCACTGACCCCGAAATCCCAAGCCCACCACCTTAACCACTAGGCCACCAGCACTCGGTGGGAGACTCAGGCAGGGTCAACCCTGCGTTGCGCAAAGAACAACGAGGGGGTCGTATTCAGCCGACCGAAAAGGGAGGGGGTCGTATCCACAAACGGGCTGCAAGACGGCTTGAAAAGTGCAGTGTCCGGGAGTGCACTTTCAGCCTCTAATGTTCTCCAGGAGCTCTGCACGCTGTCGGAGAGTCACACAGACATGAGCTCCATGGGAGCATTAAAGCATGCAGAGCACTATAAGTCTCACCATCAGCTTATTATTTCCTTTATTCCGCTTAAGCGAACCGCGCTATCCGGACGGCGCTTTTGCTCCGCGGCATAGATCAAGAGAGTGCAATAGACAATAGCCAAAAACTTTGTTACAGTGTAGTGCAAACATGGTCTGTCTTCGATGATGAAACATTCCTGAAATCCCGAGGAGAACAAAGTGTAGAGCAGTTCATGGGAAAGTGAAACAAGAGTGCCATATAACAGCACAATACAACTCAATCAGGATACTAACACCTTCTTCAGGAAAACAGAAGACTTTCAAATGCGAGTGCGAACTCTGCCCACAGATAGGTGCACGGCGTATACCCGAGGCGTTTTCCATAAAAACGCCTCCTCTGTCAGCGGCCGTAAGCAGACAAACTTTCTGAAGAGAGTTTTGATGCTTTCAAATAAAATCTAAGCGAAACAAAGTGTAGCGAATTTGCTGAATTGAGTTCTAGAGACGCCGTAGGAAAATTGAGGCAGAAGAAGGAATTTCAGGGAAATTTCACAGTTGTTATGAAGTACTCTTCGAGTGGATTCCAACAATCTTTACCGCTTCTCATCACATAATTCAAAGGAATGGGCCTTTGAAGACTGCATAGTCGCGGTCCAGGAAAAAGGCTTGAAAAAACAAAGGTGGAATTGAACGGAACAACGGGACTATTTTTTGAGCGAGTGATTATTTCAAGAAGTTTTAGCACTGCTTTCGATCCCTAGTATGTCTAAATTGCTTGGCTACTGCAAAAATGTTGAGTATGAAGAAGTTATTAACGTTTGAATGTCGAAAACTCGCGCCTTCTCAAAAATCGGACCCCAAACCACCCAAGGAACAACGGGACTATTTTTTGAAAAAATGATCGCTGGAAAATTTTCAGGTGCTTGTTCGAAAGCTCTAATCTTCTAGTTTCTAATTAGCCTTAGACATTTGCAAAAAGTGGTTTACGCAAAAATTTGAAAATTCCTTCTATTTAATGAATAAAACTTCATGTTGCCTCGATTCCCTCCTCTGAGCGAGACAGAGCGCGCGGATTGACCACGGTCCACCACTTCTCCATGTTGGTGACTGCCATCATTGATGAGCATTGATGAGCATTAAATTATGTGAAAGACATGAATAGTTAATATGGGGGGGGGGTCGTACCGATACCCCCCGAAAAGGAAGGGGGTCGTAAAAATTTTGGAATTTGCGCAACGCAGGGTTGACCCTGCTCACTGCTTCTTTCACAAGCCGCTGCTGCTGAGGCCTCATTTCTCACTGTGTTAAACTGTGTGAGGGAACAAAAAACCTCCGTAACTCCGTTCAGCGAATCGTTTGGCAGATTTGGGAAGAAGATTCGAGATCAGCGTCCGAAACCACATACCATGATACTTGTCTCATTTCATATGGCCACTTCGACCCTTCATCCTTCCCTAGTTAGTCACAAAGGTCCAAAATTCTGTCTCGGATAGCGCTACTCAATATACACATTGGGTTCAAATCGGAAACTGGGCACGTTTTCATAGTGACCTCTCCACTATTTATTTGGCTTGTGCTCACACCAACACATTTCTGACTTTGTGACCTTCTAGAAAGCGTAAATTTCGTAGCTCTACTACCATACCACTCTGGCTCCGCTTACTACCGCGCGCAAAGTGAACTTCAGTGGAACTGAGCTTAGACAAACTTTTGTATTTGGCAGCATGCATGCTTTCATTAGACTGAAAAATTGCCCAATAGAAGGGATATTGTTAAAACTGTTTGTTGTATTCTGCAGTAGAACACGCTGCTGCTTCAAAAGTAAGGTACATAGTGTGACAGTTTTACCATTTGGGCGCTACTGTTACCTTAAGAATACATTACCCGACATTACATTATACGACTGTGCATGGTGCGTGTTTAACGCATGTGCTATGTGTTCAAAGTTCAACAAATGTGACATTGGAGCTGTCGAAAAATAGGCGAGAGTCGTAGGTTATACCCAGCCAGTATACGTAACCAGGCGGACAGTCGAAGATTATACCCAGCCAGTAAGTCTAGGGTTTACCGATCCTGGAGATGACAACGTTTGCAGTTGAAAATAGCGGCGCATTCTCAAAAAATGCAAGCAAGTGAGCCAGATGCTATTTTTTTCTTAGAAGAATAGCCAGCTAGTGTTAGTATAGCTAAATTTAATTCCACCCCATGACCAAATTCTGATCATAGGGGATGGCTACGTGACTCACATTTTCGACTTTAGGACAAAGTCTCAGATTTGGCTTACAATAGAGTACTTCTAAAGATGGTTTCACCCACTGACCGTCATACTTTACACGGAAAAGCCCGATGCGTATGCTATCCGCGCCAGGGGCAATAATAGGCATATCGCGCCCAAATTTGTTCTGAGTTCCTCGATAACTCTTCACCCAGACAACTATGTATAGGCAAGCATTGATGATTTAGCCCAGATGAAAGTTTTTCACAATATTCCCAAGAAAATCACGAACTTGCCGAGAAGTGATTCCACGACATCTTGCCTGTGAGCCAGATCAACTACCACCGCGCCTTCTTGCTTCATCCTTCACACCGCGTTAGGCTGACTTCCAAAATTTCGGTCGATTATTGTGTCGTTAGCGACTAGTTTCTTCTACTGCTCAACTCATCACCACGCAAAACGCATTTGGTCGTAATATATTGAGTTGCATCGTAGCGTTTTTCTTTTCGAGCTACGAATTCAGTGAATACAAGTATTACCCAGGAAATCACATATATCATTTGAAAGTACTTCTTCTGCTCTACAATACCATGTTTGGCATTTTCTTCTATACTGTAAGTGTACTCAGATATGGCGCTTAGAAGTTGGAGAATCAAGGTGGGCGAAAATCTATATAGAGAAAAAAGCTGCCAAAATAGGAGTTTTTCGGAATCCATCGTCATCATCGAACCTTACTCCAGTCGACCCTTAATTTCAAATCATATTCACGTCGTACAAATTGAGAATAATGAGGATTCTAAAAACGGGCTCACTACCCTTTTTTGATTTTTTTCTAAACCGGTAATTTCTTGCGAAATGGAACCAAAGTCGTAAATAATGACGAGAAGAACATCACTGATCAGTTTTATGCTTGGCTTTGCTTTTCGAAAACGTTTTTGCCGAATGCGAGCGCTACGATATTATGTTCCGACCCAATAGTAAATAATTGAGACGCCGAAGTCGTGAGGGGGGGGGGGACGGCGACATTTGAGTGAGTGAGCCGCTTACCGTTAGAGTATGTACTTGGGACTAACAAGGGAGGTCTTTCAGGGCAAGCCGCGCTATTTAGAAATGGTTTCTAGCATATTGTAGGGACGCATATATGGACCACAAAACCATGTCAAACCATGTCAAAAAGTCGATTGTCGGTGCCGCGTGCGGTCGGGTTTGTCTGCGCTGTCGCTCCCGACTCCATTCTGATTCTTCCAAGTCTGATGTATTCGGTTTGCGGCCTGCTCCTACTGCTTCTATTTCATCGCTGTTCTCTGTGAGCACCTACGTGGCAGGGTGCGACTACTTTGAAGAACTTTGCCACCAGGAAAGGTTATTTTTCGAGTTTTCTGGTCTTTTGGCCCCACGTTGGCATTGCCGTTCATCGATTACACTATCGACTGCTTTTCTTTTGATCTCACAATCAGAACTACCTGTGGCTGATGGTTAAACTTTTGAATTTCTTGAATCTAGCCACCACTTAAGGTCTATTGATTCATTGATTGGTCGACTGCAATATGGACACTCCTCTGGCGCCTAGTTTTCTTCAGGTACAACGCAAAGGAGCCCAGAAAAGACATGCGACTGATCTAGAGCCGTCACCCACTGCAGCAAATGACCTCGATAAACACATGGCTGCGTTGAAGGAAGACGAATCCCTGCCTCTTCACCTTAGGATGGTCCTTGATTACCTAATTGATGATCGGAAACAAACTCAGGCTATTGTGCAATTATGTAGGGAACCCACTGAAGAGGTTAAGTCTCTCAGTCATGAAAATTCACTTTTGAAACAACAGCTTTCCGATTGTAGCAAAAACTCTTCTCAAAATGTTTCCTCACTTCAATCCTCTCAACAAGTCAGTCAACCCCCTGCATTTGGTAATTATCGATCCACTGATGAGATTGAACGTAGTCGTTCGATTATAGTTTCTGGAATAATTGAAAGCAATTACGCCTTGTCTTCCGCAAATGTTGCTCATGATATTCATTGCATACGCGATGTGCTTGACTATTTATCTGCTGATTGTGCACCGTTGGCTGTCTACCGTTTAGGCAAGTTCAATAAGAATCGTCCTAGGTTGTTGAAAGTATTATTTCCTGCTTCTTTCTTCGCAAGGCAAGCACTGCGACGAGCATCTCGTTTGAAGCATTATAAGGTTCCCGGCCTATACATACGGGCGTCCCTCTCCAAACCGGAAAGGGATAGAATTCGAGCTCAACGTGAAGCTCGTCGTAGTGAATCCGTAGTTGTCTCATCACAATCCGTTCCAAAGAGCTCTGACAACGTTTCTACATCACGTGTTACTACTGATTCTCGGCTTGCTCCTTCATCAGCTGATCCCATTCCATCTTCGATTAATAGAGTGTCAAACTAGGAAGTTTTCCTCGGGCGCTAGGATGTGGTAATAGAATATCTGTTCTATACTTCGAATATAAGATCTTTGATCAAAAACAGGTTTGCTCTTCAATCGTTGCTTAACTTTTGCCCTTATGACATTGTTGTTGCTCACTGAAACGTGGCTCAACTCCGAAATTGACATGCAGTCACTTCTGGGGGAATGCTCATCATACTATGAAATATTGAGGTGTGATCGCAGGAGGAAAAAAGGTGGAGGCGTAACATTGTTTGCTCGAAAATGCCTTTCTCCCGTAACGGTTTTCGAAGAATCTGTTCTGAACGGTTACGAACTATTGAGTTGCGATTTGATAGCTAATGATGTCCCTTCTTCGTTTTCTTATTGTATACAGAACTCCGAGTTGCCCAAAGCCAGTATCGGAGCAGTTGCTCAAAGCGATTAGCGATCTTATTTCATGCGAACGTTACTGCATCATTTGTGGCGACTTTAATCTACCTGACATTACTTGGTCCTCAGCTCCCACTGCCACCAGCCCCCTTTCAAAATCATTTTTGGAGATGTGCTCCTCGCATTCGTTGTTGCAATTTGTAAATATGAATACGCTCGGAAATCATACCTTGGACCTAGTTCTATGTAATGACGACTCACTGGTTTCTGATATGGAAGTTGGACCACCTATTGGTTCAAGTGACCATTCCTCCCTGAGATTCCGAATCAATATTAACTATGCTCAGTCTTTGCCAATGGTTAAGCATGATTATAATGCTGCGAATTATGACCTCATTAATACCTATCTAAATGGAGTTGACTGGTATGGGTCCTTGAATACGGTTGATAGCATTAATGAGAAGTATGAATTATTTCTGGCAATTCTGTACCACTCCATCGAATTGTTTGTGCCCATGATCAACGGTTCCTCTTCATAAGAGTCGCCTTCCCTCGCACCTTTGTACTCTCTTGGCAAAGAGATCAGCTGCTTGGGAGAGAGCTATCTTAACTGACGAACCTGAAGATTGGGAACTGTATCGATCCTTGAGCAAACGTTTTGACAAAAAGCTTTGGAAGTATAACAACAATGTTGAAAGGAAAGTTATCCAGAGCAAGGACAAAAACTCTTTCTTCAAGCTCCTCAATTCCAGACTTAAATCCAAAAATGCTATTCCGAAATTGGTTGCCGATGATGGCAGTGTGGCAATCTCAGATGAGCATAAAGCTGAATTGTTTGCTAGCGTATTTGAACAGTCATTTGCCCAGATCTCTCCCTCTAACGATCTTGCTGTTGGAGTTACTACCTCTACTTGTTTTCCAGTGATGGAGGATTCTGTTTGGTTTAACGCTGAAGAAATCTATAGCCTGCTCTCTAAATGGCCATCGTCTTATTCGGTTACCAGTGACTGTATACCTCTCCGGTTTATCAAGGGAGTGGCTCATGTTATAGCTGGTCCCCTTGAGTATCTCTATAACCTTAGCTTCATGAGAGCCGAGGTTCCTCTCAAATGGAAACTTTCACTTGTCACTCCAATTCCTAAAAAAGCCTCGTCCAGTTCGCCCTTCAATTATCGCCCCATTAGTATTACATCCATTTTTGCGCGGCTTTTCGAAAAGATCTTGAAGAAAAGGATCGAGGCCCATCTTCTATCCCACTCTATCATCTCGCAGAATCAACATGGTTTCCAAAAAGGTAAATCTACGGTTACTGCTATGCTATGTAGCCTGAATGATTTAACATCCTACCTTGATAGGGGTAGGTCTGCTGATGTCATTTACCTAGATTATTCTAAAGCTTTTGATAAAGTACCTCATTGTAAACTGTTGTATAAACTACAGCTTGTAGGTATTCATCCTCGCATTATAGCTTGGATTAGGGCCTTCCTCACTGACCGTTTATTTATTGTGAGAGTAAACGCAGCGTTTTCTAGGCCTAGAAATGTTCTTAGCGGAGTCCCTCAAGGTGGGGTCCTATCACCTACTCTTTTCAATATCTATACATATGAATTGCCGGGTTTGATTCAATCCTGTGGAGCTCAATGCATTGCGTTTGCTGACGACATGAAGATTTACAGACAAATAACTACCAGTGAAGATTGCGCTATACTTCAACAGGCTCTTGATGTCGCCTCCTCCTGGTCGAAAACCTGGGGCCTCCCTCTGTCTAAGGAGAAAACCAAAGTAATGCGATTTGGATGTAGGTTTGCTTCTGCCTCAAGTCCAACTTTGTACTACATTGATGGGGCTGTCGTCCAAGCAGTTGATAAAATTGTTGATCTAGGGTTCTTGTTAACTCCTGAA